TATGCAGCTGTGATACCCCTTCAAAAGGCACCTGTGTCATGGTCAAAGGTTTGTAAACAAAACTACTATGTGCTATAGCTTTAGTTTTTTTAGTTTTTGTGGCGGAAACTAAAGTATGATGCTTCATTGCAGGCTAGTTACTATAGAGGAGAGATACTTCCTTTACTAAAGAAGCACAAGGTGATACAATTTACCCATACAGATTCAAGGCTTGCTAACAATGGCCTAGCATCGTCCATTCAAAGGCTTCGCTGTAGAGCTAATTATCAGGCTCTGCGTTATACGAATGAGATAGAGGAGTTTGGAAAGAAGTTGGTTGATAGACTTAGAGATAATGGTGAACCATTTATCGCTCTTCATTTAAGGTAATCTATCTTAACACTTTGTGTTTCTTTGTCTATTCTTTAACCATTGATCTATGAGTAACTTGGTATATTTCTCAATCGTGCAGATACGAGAAAGACATGCTAGCGTTTACTGGCTGCAGCAACAATTTGACTATTGAAGAGGCTGAAGAACTTCGTACGATGAGGTATGAAGTGAAACATTGGAAGGAGAAAGAGATAGACAGCAAGGAAAAACGACTCCAAGGAGGCTGCCCCATGTCCCCTAGAGAGGCTGCTTTATTTCTCAAAGCGATGGGATATCCGTCCACGACCAGAATATACATTGTTGCAGGGGAAATTTATGGCAACAACAGCATGGATGAATTCCGTTCTCATTACCCGAATGTGTACTCTCACTCAACCCTTGCAACAAATGAAGAACTCGAGGCTTTTAAGAATTATCAAAACCGTCTTGCTGCAGTAGACTACATGGTAGCCCTTGAAAGTGATGTTTTTGCTTACACTTACGATGGCAATATGGCAAAGGCCGTGCAAGGTCATAGACGGTTTGAAGGATTTCGAAAGACCATTAGCCCGGACAGGTATGTTTAGCATCCTCAATGCTTTACATCTTCCCTTTTCATCACTTAAATCAAACTAACACTAATATTAATACTTTTTCTTCTTTTCAGGTTCAATTTTGTAAGATTGATCGACTCGTTAGATAAAGGTGAAGTCTCTTGGGAAGAGTTTGCTTCAAAAGTTAAGGCCTTACAATCCAACAGATTAGGAGCACCTTACCTAAGACAAGCCGGTGAATCACCACGATTAGAGGAGAACTTTTACGCGAATCCTTTACCAGGTTGCTTGTGTAATAGATCACACGAAGAAGCCAGTAAACAACAACTCAACAAGAGACCAAGATTGAGGGTTGCTTCACAAAGATAGGTACTTTCAATGATCATAATTTGGTAGATTAGTCCAATATGTACTTGTTCTACAAATGGCCTATAAGGGGTTGCTAGAAGTCGGGTTTTTCATTGCCCTTCACACTGCGCGGCGAGCAAAAACAAAGAGAGATTGTTGTAACAAGAAAAGCAGTACTTGGAAGCAGAGATGATAGTTTATAAGATGGACAAAAGAAAAGCATATACACAAAGCAGAGAGATATACTCAAAAATCATTCTTTAGGGTGGAATATAAAAAATTTCATTCATTTATTTATTTTTATTTTTGTTCTGAGTTAGTTTTGTGATTTAGGTTCAACACGGATTGATCATATATGTATTACCAATTCATGAAAATGATATACAGATCTTTACACAGATGCAGATTTGCTCTTCCTAGACAAATGTTTGTGTTAGCCTTTCATTTTTAGCTTAAAAAACTACGTAATGTGTGTATTAGACGCATGTCAGGTGTTCAAATCCTAGTATTTGAGTAGAGAAGGGTAATACGATGAGTCTATTATCCACCGAGTTTTGGATGTGTTTTAACTGATCCAAGAGATTTCTCGATTATAAAAAAAAAGAAAGTACTATATGGATCATTCCACCCTTGGGAAGATTGTGGTTCAGTTTGAACTGTTCCCTTGATAAATTGATTCAAATACATAGGTCTAATATACTCTTTAATTTTGTAATTTGGAGCTAATATATTTCTTGTTACAAAAATGATTCACATATATCCTTTTCATCTAACGAAAGTGAAAATAAATTCATTTTTTTATTTTTTGAAAAATCATATAGGAATATATATAATCCCTCTTAAAAAAAAGTCTTGCAATACCTAGTAACTGCTCCACTAGATCACTACCACTAGCATTCAAAGAGAGGTTGCAACTTCTAAGACTCATTTTATTAAAGAGTTTAAGTAATATTTGTCTTCGTATAAATAATTTTACATTATCAGGTTACTTGTTATAGCATTTAAACTCTTTATTAAATAGGTGGTTATTCTTTATTTTATTTTTTTGCATTCATAAAAATATAAGTATATGTTTGTATTCCTCATGCCAAAGCTCCAGCTAGAAGTATGAATTGTGGTCCTACCTGTTTTTGCAAGTATAAGCTAAGCACCTTGACATTAAAGTTGTTGCCACTTTATTCAATTCCAAGCTGTCTAGGACAAAATATTTAATAGGATTCACAATGGACATGGAAAATTAGGAGGAATTATACTTTCTTGGCTATTTATAAGAGAGGAAAATAATTTTTTCAGATTTGTTACGTGTGAAAATGAATTTCTTATAAGAAAAATGTGAAATTAAAAAAAATTGTAATTGATACAAAATTAATTCTCCATTAGCCTATGGCATGTTGTGAAAGAAGATAGCACACTGGATGTATGCGCTTCGGTCATGTCTTTGAACAGTTAGATGATATTATGAACGCAAGGTGCGAGATATATACTAAGTTGAGGAATTCATGTAATCATTTTCCTATCTAGAAAGTAGAAACTAGTAGCTAAGGATATTAATGAGATGATTTTGTCGATTATTTACTAAAATTTATATCATCTTAATTTTTTGGCTATTTATTTTGTATGATTAAAATTAGATTTATTCAAATCGTCCCATCATCTTAGTTTCTCTTCGATATTATTTGTAATGTCATGTCAAACCATGTTAGACTTTGACAAAAACTCTCTAGATATTTTTACGATTTGAATGAATTAGAGAACATGAATAGAAATTCGATTCATTCCCTAATCACTACTGTAAAAATTAAGCAAAGATGAAAATTTAAATCAGTGGAAATAAATTAATCAAGATGAAATTGAAGAATTAAGTCAACTAAGATTATGTATCCAATAATTGAAATTTAAATTATACGAGATGAAAGATATCTATACCTTGTAGCTTGCTACTAAACTCACAACTCAAGATACCATAAATAATTTAATTTCAATAGGAGTAGCATAATAGGTTTTGGAGTTGAGACTTTAAAGTTTAATCTAATAGCCATTTCCGCACTAGATTGAAGACGAAAAATCTAATATTTTATTATTTATAAACTTAGTGTAAATAAAATATTTTTACACATTTATTTATAAGGTACGATTCGATTTGTTTTTTCAATTTATTTTTATAAAATTCAATATCTGTCTAATACATAACTTGGTACAATTATAAGTTTATATAAAAAAAACCTCCGATTTTATTTTAGAAAACCTAATAATCGATTTGGTTCGATACATTAACACCCTTAACTGGCATATCGCCCAACAAAGTTGAAGAAGCCTAACATGAAACCATAAGTGATAATTTGAGACGGATTTAAAATTTTAAGTCCATCAATTATACATCATAAGTAGTATTGTCACCATAATTTCCATGTGACAATCATTGACAACTGAATTAGTGAAGAATCTTTAATACGTACTAAATAAGAAGAGCAAAAAATTGAAATGTCACATGAAATTTGCTTACCAGAAAAGCATGAACATAGATAGGAAGGCTAGAACTCGAGTTCGAGCCTCGGATATTGAGAAAATCATGTTAGAATCGTCATCTCTAAATGGACATTGCAGTGCGAGATTCGAATTTAGTCAGGGCTCCAATGTAAGCTTCGGACACCAGTGGCGGAGACGCGGAGTTAGGATTTTTAATAAAGGGGTTCAAAATCTGAAGAAGTAAACACGTGAACTAATTGAATATACATAAAAAAAAATAATCTTAACCATATATAAATAGTAATATATTCCACCGATGGGGTTCGTTTTAGTAAGGGCAAGGGGTTGGGAAAGTTTACCTGAGAACATGTGAAATTAGAAATATGGGCCATATGAGATAATTTAATGCTGAGAGAATGATATCACGCCACAATGAAATGTAATTAGGCAAAGATCTGTCCATATGCTACCATATTTCCACTTTTGTGCTATGATCACCAGTTACAAATTCAGGATTTTCATTAAAGAGGTTCGAAAAATAAAAATGTAGTGCTTGTTCAGATTAGAACTATGAAAATTAGGCAAGCAAGAACCTTTAACAGTGTGAGTGTATTTTCCTTCTTGAAAGTCCATAAAACAACAACCTGGAATAGCCCCTTTCCAACGATTAGGGCTGATGTAACAATCAACAACGTACCAAGTGTAATCCCACAAGTGGGATTTGAAAGGACAAAGTATACACAGACCTTACCCCTATCCCTTAGAAAGATAGAGAGGCTGTTTCTGATGGATCTTTGGCTTAAATAAAACAGTTCGTTGTATACAACATACAAAAGAAAGAACAACAACAATGAAATAATGCAATAACCGAAGGACAAAAAATTACAGGTGATAACCAAAATAGAAAACAAGAAACTACCAGCTGATTCAACAATCATTTGACATTTTTTGAAAAATGACAGCATGCACATTACAGTGAATAATATGAGTTAAGGAACCACAAAATGATAATAGTGAAAAGTGAAAACTGCCTACTCATTACAACAGTGAAGAATCTATATAGCATCCTTTAACCATGAGATGCACAATCAAATGTACCTTCTAGCTGATCTGAGTTACAAATGGAACAGGTTTTCAAAGATCATTCACTTACAAAAACACTATGGATCTTTCCTCAAGAACCTATTATTTGTGAAGTGTCGGATTAATTACAACAAAATCTACGTTTAAGTAGTAACTTCTGCAGAAAACAATGTCCTGAGAATTGGCATTATGGCACTACTACCACATCGATGGTACATAAACCTGCTCTTTGAGATTCTGTGTGGCGCTTTCAGTAGGAAAACCCCTAACAGCACCTATTGTCCACTGGGATATTATCCCCGCTGCAATTGCAAAGCGAAGCTGTCTCTCTAGGACATCTTGATCGTGGTACATCTCTGGTTGTGTTGTCAACTTTCTCATTATTCCAGCGACAACAGCATCACCAGAACCAGTTCTATCACAAGTAAACGGTGTTATGAGCACATCTTCTGTACCAACAACCACCCCATCAAAAGAAGGGGTGTAGTAATGAATCCTAAGTGTCCCATCTGTAACAAACAAAAGTTTCAGTCCGTCGTGCCACAAGGGAGCAATTTCCTCAGGAGTATAGTGATAATAATTTCTTCTTTGTTTGGTTTGTTCATAATTCTCTGCAAAGTACTGAGGTCTGTAATTCCTTTTCCTCTCGTAATGCTCTTCGTCAAGAAGAAATTCAAGCTCTTGTCTTGAAACCTCAATGATGTTAGCTTGCTGCCAGGCTTTCTTGATCAAATCCCTTGTTTCATCACGTGATCTCCACAGGGGCAATGGCAGATTTAAGTCAAAAAATATAAGACCACCAAACTTCTTTGACAATGTAATTGCTTTAAAAAGAGTAGAACGCATAGATGAAGATGTCAAGACTTCAGAATTAAAGTGGAACATCCTAGCCTGCAAAAGAGAAAGCAAAAGCCCCACGAAATTTGTTAATAATAGTTTCCCAACATCACCCTGACACAATTTGTTGAAGCATGTAAGTTCCGGAAAGGATAAAACTGATAGAAGACATATTCTTCTCCATAGTGGAGGTTCAAGCACTGTAATAAAAATATCCATCATGAATTCAACATCTTACTTCTGGTTCATAACAATCGAAAAAAACAATTTCCCTACCGAACAAGAGAATGAAAACTGATAATATATTGAATCACTTTTCAGCTTTCACTATTGAAATTTGAAGGATCAGCCAGTCTGAAGCTAAAAGACTGATGGTTTCAGGAAGACGAGTAACTAGTCAAGCATGAAACAACAAAGCAATATTACTACTCCAAAAGATAACTAGTTGTCAGGACACTAGATTTTTTTAATGATAGGTAACTACACTTTCACTACCTCGCAACTAAAAGGAGTATATACGATTAGCACAAGTCAAACTCAAATAAATAAATTGACGAGAATTATGCATCTTTAGTCAATTGGTTCTACAAAACAAATGTGTCATTGCAAAGAAATGTCATCAGAGTGAAGAGATCAAGCAAACTTCAGAACTGGAGAGAGCAATAAAACTGTTAACGACTGCACAATAGTGTCTACTGATAAATAGTGAGCTTCTCCAGCAGTCTGACTTCAATATACCTACTAGTAATCATTTATGGGAAATTTTAGTGTTACTCTCTACATTCCTATGTGCGATGATGGAGATAGAGTACTTGGAATCAGCAGAATTCCAAAACTAACAACTACGAAACGAACTGGTTTCACACCGGGAGAACAAGACCAAGAGCAACGACTCCAATGGTTCAGAAGATATCTTAAGAAAAGCAGCCATGGGGTTCTTTCATAAGCCATTTTGCACAACATAGTTTAATACCAATACGGTTCGTTCACGTAGCAAATTAGATTCATGCATCCTCTATTAACATTTAAAGCAAAACACCACTACACAAATAGAAACAACAACATACTTAATCTATCCATAAAAAAAAAATCTATCTTTCCTTTTAATAACAACTTGTCTTTCACTTCCACATACCTCTTTCAGAACATCAAGATTCAATTCGGAGCTAAGCAGTGAATCCTCAGCAGAGTCTTTAACTTTCTCCACCCTCATTTTCCCATCTTTAAACTTAATTTTCATATAACTACATCCGGTCCTCATACTATCACTAAATTTGACAGACCTTGTTTGCACATTTTCTTTATTCATTAACAAAACCATTTCTTGTCCAAACTCATCATTCCCAACTTTCCCCATAAATGCAGCTCTACCACCAAGCCTAACATGAGATATAGCAACATTAGATGGAGGTCCACCAGGAGCTCTAACAAACTCAGGTGGATTCCACTGCAACATTTTCCACTCTGAATACTTATCTTTATCCATTTGCTCATGTGATACTCTCACTGTTGGCACAAACTCCTTCTGTGCTGCACCAAAACAGCAGACCAAAGGTGGGTTTGGGTATGGAAAATCAACCCCATCATCATAATCATCAATTTCTTCCATTTGGGTGTTGGATTCTGCAATGTTGATATCAAAGTTTGAATCTTTTGGGGTTCTTGATTTTCTTGAAGTTGTGGGGGTGGATGATTTTTTACGGCCACCGCGAGAGGGGGTAGGGGGTTCTTGGGTGGTGGTGGGGTGGTCATTGGTGGTGGACTTGGGTGGATTTGTTCTACAGGGAAATTTGGAGGAGGAGAAGAAGAAAATGGTGGGGTTTAGTGAATTGTGAGAATGATGATGAGGAAGAGATTGTGGAAGAAAATGGATTGTTGCCATGGTGTTCTTGGTATGTGTTAGGGTTTATCCCTATCTTCTCCATGCCATTGTTCAAAGAGAATTTGAGGTTTAGACTTCCATTCGGGTTTGGATAACTTGACCCGATTGTTTTGACGGGTAGTGACAGTCGGGTCGGGTCGGGTTCATACATTTTATTTTGGGTCTAGTTAGAGCAAATATTTAGGAAAAATTACTTAAATATACAACTTATTCATATTCTCTAAATTTTCCTGTCATTTGAAAAAATTACAGAAATCTCTACTCTCTCTTATTCTCGGATACATCACTTTACGTGATATATTGGTCAGATACATCACTATACGTGATGAATCGGTGCGTAATATATCACTTTACGCGATGAATCGATCAGATATTTCACTATACACGATGTATCATGACGTAATACATCACTTTATGCGATATACATCACTCTACGTGATGTACCAGAGCATACACAATGTATCAGGAAGACTTATGTTTGAAAAAGAAAGGGAAAAGGGTCAAAAACAACTTTGGTTTATTAGTTGACTATACCCTTACCGTTAAAATGAAGTTATTCTTCCCCCAATCGTCTACAAACCTGTCACCCGTATGATTTCTTACATTCATTGAGATATTGTCTTTCCAACATCTCCTCCATCCATTCTTTGTTAGAATTTCTGAAATATTCCTCTAAGTTGAAAATAATTGTAACATTAGGTATTGATTTAGGTATGATTATAATTCTTAATTATTTCCTAGACATAAAGATTTTTAATTGTAGGAAATTTGCTTTCAATTAATCCTTAATTCTTATTATTTTTCGTTGCACTTGTCCAGTATTATAGAATAAATTGATTTTGCATCTATTGATTACGATTTCAGCCCTGTGATTTTAATTACAATCTTGATGTTGGCACGTTTGATTTACAACTATCTTGAATAATTGCCTCCTTTTTCCATTAATTAATAAAAGAAAGGTTGATTTTCTATCAAGTTGGGTGGGTGGGTCGGATCAGGTTAAAATTAGGTAATCTAAGTAAAATTAGATTATTTTTGTTGATTTGGAGTTTTCCATCCAATTGAGGGGTACAAGTGACAAGTTTGTAGACGACATGTGTAATAATAACTTCATTTTAATGATAAGGACATAATCAACTAATAAAATAAAATTGAGGAATATTTTTGACCCTTTGTTAATCAACAATTTAAATTGAACAAATATTTTTTTCTGACTATCTGTATCTGGTAAAATAGGTTTCAATAAATAAATAATTAATTTTCAATGACATACATTGTCACCATCATTAACTAACTGCAACAATTTTTACCATACTAACTACAATCTTCCTTTCAATTTAAAATATAGTATTCAGTAAAATTACTTCATATAAATTGGAACAAAATATATGAAGTAGTTTTAATTAATTAAATCTTGTAACACTCTTAGAATTTAAGAACTAATATTGTGATATAAATTTTGATTTATCTCAAATAAAGATATTTGAAAAAAATCTTAATATATTTAATCTAACAATCAATTTAACAGTCAAAGTCAAATTAATTTCGTATTCGTGGAATTTAAGAACTAATATTGTGATGTAAATTTTAATTTATCTCAAATAAAGATATTTGAGAAAAATCTTGATATATTTAATCTAACAACCAATTTAACAGTCAAGGTCAATTAATTTCGTATTAGGATCAAGATAATATCAAAATCATGACACCACAATAAATTATCACAATCTAATATAATATTTTTTCCACTATAATTAATTCTATATGTACAATATTTACTTAGCAAGACCCCTCAAATTTATAGTTTTTTAATTTATTCAATCAATTTTCAAATTTATAATTTATGACATGTTGAATTTTTTCTTATATAAAGGTTTGTGATTTGCCTCTATGTATCTCACCTCATTCTTCACATTTTCTTCTACACTTCTAATCTATAAAGATTTTGTTTGTTTATTTTGATTTTAATCAAACTCGTAAACTCTTAATTCACCATGTCTGATTCTTCTTCACCTCCAATGCTTATATATAATAATTGTTTTTCAATTGATAACTTGAATTCTTCTAAGCTTGGAGGATGTTACCAACAATAACAACAGGTCTATCACCAAGAGGACACCTTTTTCACCTAGGTATACAACTTAAATTTTATTTTTTTGTTATTTCAACATATATATATATAATATATATATCGTCAAAATCAAATCACTCTCTCTCCAATATTACAATTTGTATTGCTCTCTTTGTTTTTATATTCAACTATCTCTAAAATTTTCACTCTCTAATATATTTCATGGATTCTAGCGCTGAGAAGAAATCAAAGGGTTGGAAAGAATCTTTCGAAAAAGGATGGGATAGATGAGAAGAAAAGAAGGCCAAGAAAACATCGAAGTCTATAAGATTATGAACGATTATTTTTTAAGAACTGACTCAGAAATTGTCTAGACATGGTTGAAATCTCATGTTTTTGTAAGAAAAAGAAGATCATGAATTATTTAACGAAGGATGCAGATGAAAAATCTAATTATTTTGGATCAATTTTACTGGTTTTCATTAGTAGTCGAAGTTTTCAATATGTATTGTATGAAATGGATATATAATATGGTATGTTCACCTTTTTGAATATTTAACTATTTGTAGTATGAAACTGAGGCATACCAAATGGTCTTTTTTTTATATGTATGGAATGTGTTTACAAACTGATATACATAGCCTTTTTTGTACCAGTTATATACAAACTGATGTACATGTTTCAAAGAAATGAATCTTGAATTTAATCCTATTTCAAAAGTTAGTTCAAGAAGTAAGAATTACGCTCTTCAGAAGTTACAAACTTTACCAGGCTCATTTCACTTATAAATATCCTTTAAATGATCGGATAGTGTAAATACGAATGAATAGATGGAGTTTTTTGTAATGGGGAGGGGGTTGCTATCGCTAAACTTTGAATTTAGACTCAAAGTCATTTCATCACTTGAAATCGTAGTAATCCAACATGTTTATAGTATTGATGCAATTTTGATCCACCCTACTAAACATAGCGAAACTTTACATTCCATACACTAAATTGTGGATAAAACCGATGTTAAAAAAAAATACAAAGATACTAGAAAGAAAAAAAATACATTAGAAATTTGATAACATCAAAATCAATAGACTATTATGAACTACCAACACTTGTGTCTACCAATCTGAAGCTGTATTTTAATGACCATACCATTGAGCAATTAGTTAGCAGAATTACACTTTGGATAGTAAATCATTAAATTACAGCTACACAACATAACAACAACAAAAAGCACAAAACTTAACAAAGATGATTTACATAACCAACAAAACTAAATTCCCACTTCAATCAAGTTTACCTAATTCTTAACCTTACCATCTTCCATAGCTTTATCTACAACTACTATGAACTTTTTATACTCGTCGAATTCCTTCTTATGAAGTTCCATTACTGCAGGATGATCCTCTGGTGCCACTGGCCTTCTACTCCCTAACACAGTCCACACAATCACAACAAGTAATGCCCCTAATGCTCCACATCCTGTACCGAAAAGCAATGCACCAAGAATCCTCAAAGCACAATCACTTCTGCTGTGAACTTTCATCTCTTCTTTTTTCTTAACAAATGCTTGTGGATCTAATGGTTCTGAGTGCATCCAATGAGGTGCAGTCCTTGTGTTAAAGCTCAATGAATAGATGTTGCATTTCTGAGTAGAATTCCCACTTGAAGAACTTAACCCCACAAACAATTCATCCTCTTTCCACATTTGTGACATGTCAATAGGGCAAGAAAGCAATGTATCAACTGGCTTAAGGTCACCTAATTTGCTCAACCTGATTTCTAATCTCTTTGAACTTGCTTCATAATCAATCCAAGATTGCATCTTTTCACCACTATTCATTAGCCCCAATTTAACAGAACTAACATTACTCACTTTCACAGATATAAAGCTGCTTAAATCAACACCAACATGGTTTTCATTCACATCACCATATTTCTCATCCATAAATGTATCAAATTCTACAGCAAGAAACTTCATTTTTCTATCACCCAATAGCCCAAATGAGCCACCATCAAACACATCAAAAGGATATCCAATAGGTACCATCACAAAAGCAAATCCATCCCCATTTTCTCTAGACAATGAAAACACAAAATGTAATGAAAAAGACACCATTTTTCTTGGACTTCCTTCAATTAGCTTAAAGGGTTTCTTGTTCAAGATTCTTCCAGCACTAAAACCCATTGAACCACTCATTTGTATACCACCATTAACAACCTTAGCATCACCATAAAGTGCAATCTGAGACTCAAAGTTTGAATCTTTACCAAAATCCCCAAAACCAAATGACATTTTTTCCTCAGATTGGATAGTTCTGAAGTAAAAACAGAAGATAAATAACACCATAAGATACCTGGAAGCTGACAAAGTACCCATTCTTGATCTTGGCTTAACTTGAGCTAGAAAAGCTGTTAACTTTGTATTCTTTTTTCAGCTGAGACTTACCAAGATTTCTTCTTAAATGAACCCATGTAGAGATTTTCAAGAAAGATGTAATTTTTATATGATTTAGAGGTATTTATCTTAAAGAATTTCTAGGGTTTGAGATGAGTATTGAGAAAGGAGGAGAAGGGAATTGCTTGGGGAAATGGGTAAGAGAGGTTGGTGAGTGATGTGGGGGTGGTGGGTGATGGGGGAGTGGTGGATTTGGCTTTGAAGATTGTGAAAATTGAATAAGTTTTCTCTTTTCTGCAACTATACTGATACACTTTCCTTCAATTGATTGCTTATTTGAGGGAATATAAAATGAGATTCTTTATGATAATTGTCCTCCTTTCTTCTCATATTGTCATATCTAGTCCTCCTATATTGTAAGATTTTACTTTGTTAATCACAAAACAATACAATAACAAAACATACTCGGTATAATTTCATAAGTATATCGAGTTAATCTGTCGGCAATCTCTAGTTAATTTATCGCTAAAATGCTTC